CCCCAAAACCCCAAAACCCCAAAACCCCAAGTTACCTTCTAGTAATTGAGAATAATAATTTTAAAAGATTTCGCACTTTAAATGATGGCTGGCAGTGAAGAGTCTGGGATTGGGTAATGGAACAGTAAAATATTCCTGTCACGTTCGGGAATACTTGGATGCAACTTGATCCATTGTCTAGTTAAATTTGGAGGCTTTATGGTATCTCTAATTTAAATTATAAATCTGAATTAAGTATTTTACATTTTCAAATGAATAATCAAGTCAAAAGGTATATTTATCCTGAAATTAATTCAATAAAATTTGTATTAAAGCCAAATATTCGAAATATTAAACTAATTTAATGTTTTACTCGTCAATTTAGTTCAAATAGTTAGTACTTTTCGTATAGGGGCTTGACAGATTAACTTCATAAAGTTCTAATATTCGTTTTGAATATTCAATAGTGATGAATAAATTAAGCTCCCCTTTTGTACACCCTAAGCTATCTAAATCAAACTTCTCACTTACTAACTCTCATGAAGATAGCAATTCCGATAGCAATCAGAATACTGATCAGAAAGATACCAAATTTACTAGTTCCGACTCAAGCCTTCACAACTCGCTTGGAGCTCTTCAGCCAGAATATTCTCTTACTGAAGACAGTAAAGCCAAGACTGATGACTCTTCTACTCCAGGATTCCTAGATCCTTGACCGAAATCCACGATTATTAGCTATCCAGGATTTGCCAGACCGGCTTGGTGTAAGAAGTGCCACAAAGTTAAGCACTGCCACGCCCCTTGTTCTGTTGGGCCGGGCAGTTGTGAGCCAGGTGAAACTCACCTAGGAGGGATTCCCCTCCCCACCAACGGCTACAGAAGCATCGATGTGATTAAAGGGCGTTATTCACTGGACTGAGTTTTTGATTCAACTAAGCTATATACAAAGCCTGTCAAAACTCATCATCATTAGATCCTCCATTGACTAGTTTTCGGGTTAGAATAGCTTTGCTTGGCAGACTCAAGAGGCAACCGATAAGCCAACTTTGGGTTTGCAATTGGCAAAATGGCTTCTCTGAGAACTATAACAATCAGTGTACTTTCTTTGAACTTGGAACTTGTCTCTTTAGGCATTTGCTTTACTCAAGTCTCAGAATTTCTGTGTTATTATGACAAAGCAATGTGTATAGGCCTGTAAAGTAGCTTCTACAATCTGAATGTATGGTGTCTCTGATGAGTTAGCTCACTTTTAGATCAAAAGAAGCCCATGCTGAATGCTTACTTTGCTACACTACAATCTACAAATACAAAATTGTTAAAATGCTGAATCTGCATTGCTGCAAACTTATGATTTGTGATGAAAACTTAAATTGGCATTACCTTTAGTGTTTAATGGTCAAAAATCAAAATTTGAGATGTGGGATTTGTCTCCGTGGCTTTTGTATTCCTCCTAAAAACTCAGCTTCAAAAGTTAAAAGAGAAGCTGACCGCATTCAGTGTTTGAAATGAGGAGTGAAAGCTCACAAGAAGTGACTGCAGATGTATTATCACCTTCAAGGAAGCCCTAAGAAATGGAAATGAGGAGTCTGAACTGAAATCCACCATAAAGAATGAGAAATCTGTGGTACTAGCAACCAAGGCATGCTTTGGAAAGAATCAGGGCTCAATGGCAGAGCCTTCAATTTTGATAAAGAATATTTGCATTTGCCTTGCACTCTGTGGTATCCTGAAATTCAGATGACTGTTTTAGACAGCACAAATCCAGGCAAGTTGGTATACAATGACCCAAAAACCAGCAGCAAAAAGAGATTCGGAGTAGTGGAAGCAACATTCTTGCAAGGATGCAATGATTGAGTTGGACGATCAAATAATAAATCTGTAGTCCCCTGAATTTTCACTGGGACTTCTTGAAACTCTTATTATCACCAATCTTGCTTGATCAATAAACACAAAACCAAGGATGTGCAATTTGTTATCTGAAAGATTAACTCTCTGACTAAAATCATGATTATCTGAAGTTCATGAGTAAAAGTCATCATTACAAATACTGGAGGAAAAAGTCTGTCTAAAAGTAAAACTTCCAAGAAAATACTTGAAATTGTAAATGCTCAGTTTAAGAAAGACTTCAGTTCAATCCAGGCAGTCGAAGTGTTGCCTAAGCAGAAGATCATTAGCTTCTGGTCAGCTTATTTTCTAGAAGAAGCGAATCTCATGTTTGACAATTTAGATGAAACAATGAAAGACACCACCACAAACAGTGAAAAACTTGACAGTTTCATCCAAGAAACGGTGAAAGAGCAAGAGCAACGGAAAGCAGCTCAGATCGCTTTTATGAAGTCCAATCAAGAGTATGTTGTCAAGGCAGAGAGGCCTCCGAAGAACGAAGAGTTAGAGAGAAGGAGTAAGTACTTGTGCAAGTTGCTTCAAGGAATCACCCATGCCAATGACAAAGACTTTACACCGAAGACTCAAAACTGTGCTATCTGAAAGCTGAAGATTACCACCGCAAGACACAAAAATGATTATCCGTTATTTTGAAGCATTTATTGTGGGCAGACGATGCATGCGTCATGATATTTCGGAACTGACTTCGCCACCTTCCTCATTGATGAATGAGATGAATACGATGTTGAGTCCTTCGAAGAGATCGTCCACAAGTGGACATGAAGCATGTGATCGTTTATTAAAGATCTTCCAGAAAGTCCAAAAGTTGATTACTACTCACTGAAAGACTTTAATGCTGGAAACCATTCTTCCCAGATTCCTCAGTGCAAGTATTGACACCACAAAGGCGGCCCTCTGAGATACTTTGAGCATGCAGACACGGTCACTTGGTTTCACCCTTATTGAAAGATTGTTTCTGGAATTGATTCTGACTATTTTTGATGGGCGTCCCCTCAGACGAATATTGTCGTTTCAACAAAAATGAGCTGCCAAGAATGTTTGAAAAAAGGCTCAACTGTGAAGTGATTGTTTAGGGATTGAGACACTTATCTTCATATTCCTTGTGCCATAACCTCTAGATCAGAATTTTATATCAAAAGAGATTCTCATGAGATAAGGATGCTATGCAAGGTCCACAGCTCTAAAGGAGACTCTCCAATCAAACTTACTAGAAGAGCAAAGCAGAAGCTCTGATCCAAAGCACCCAGAAAAACTGAGGGCCAATCTTTTTGCAAGCAAAATAAAAAGTCAAATAGTTCATTGTCTCCGATGTGAGTGGGCAACAGAAAAGTGTTTAATGCTCTAGGAGAGGAGTCGCTTAAAGTCAACTGGAACCAATACTCTCTCTTCTTTGGAGACATCTCGCCAGACGATGTCATGGCTCGAAAGAAATTGTCTAACACAAAAGTTGATATTGATGAACTATGTAAACTGCTATGAAAGTCTCAAGAAAATTTACCAGCCAAAGATGTGTCTGGAGATGCTTCTGAGCGTATCTTCAGAGCAATGATCCATCTGAAAGATGACAACACCAATGTGTCTGAGCGTAACAGGTACTTCTTATGCCAGTTTAAACAGACGCAAGATGTCATGCCTCCAATTTCAAAATATCTAGGAAAAGAAGTAAAACTCACCAATGAGTTTACTCGAATGGCAAGGAAAGTCAAAGGCCAAAAGATCAACATTAAATCACTCAAGAAGTCTTCAATTCGAAATGTTGAACTCACCAATTTCTGAGAAAAGTCTAAGAAGCAGTTCCAAAACATGAAAGAGTACAACCGGGCTTTACACCAGACAAAGGCAGAATTGTTGATCAAGCAGCCTCATGAGCATAGAGTCATACTGAACGACGAGGTTGGGTATCACATTTACTCTCTATCTCTGGAGCTCAACCGACTAAGCGAGATCATCAATAAAGAGACTCAGAAGTCTATTGAAGAGTATCATGAGAAAGAGTATGAAGCTCCTAGTTCCAGCACAATGGCCAGGATAGAAGAAGAGGCCCACCAGATAGATTATTCCCTTCGCCAAGTGACTCCATGGAAGAAGATCAGGAGGACCTTTGTTAAAGGCCTTACTGCTGAATTTGAGAATGGAAACAAACAAACTTGCTGCCAAATATGCTTCTTTCAAGATGACGACCCTCACAATCTGATTCACTACTGAGGAAAATGCGGCAAAGGAGCCCACCAAGCTTGCTATGGCTTCCAGTATAAAGGCGCCAGGTTCAAGTGCGATTGGTGTGAAAATGGAGGCGACCGAGAAGCTTTGTTTAAAGAGCAAAAAGCAGTTCTTGATGTTTTGCTTAAGTCTCCAAACACAACAAATCAGAAAAGAAACAAGGAAAAATCAATTGTGTGCATTGTCTGACACAGGGAAGGAGGGCTTTTCAAGCTGCTATATTCAGACAAAAAGCATTGTCGAAAATATGTCCATATCTTTTGCTGCTTCACTTCGAGTCTTCAGTTCAAGTATCCGTCTGTGCTGACAGAATTTGAAGATGGAGTGCTTCAACAAATAGAGCATCCTCAGCAGCAACAATGAATCGTTTGACAAGAAAGGAAGGGTTATATGCTACACTTATATGATCAAGGCATCAAGACTGCAGAGAAAGTGCACTCATTCTGAGCTTGGCTTGCTGGCTTCAAATTCGAACACACAACGGCTGACAACGTGAAAGACGGAAACTTAGTGAAGCTGAAATATTACGAATGCTTTAGCTTCTCGATCAAAATACAGAAAACAATAGACTTAGAATTAAGGCAGAACAGACTTTCCTGTTATAATGACCCTGGGTTTGATCTGGCTGAAGTTGAAGTGGATTCTCTTTCCGAAGTCCAAAATAAGCTTGAGTCTGGCAACCACACCCTTTCGGAGCTACCGAAGACAGTCCTTGAGCAAGTTAGGGATCCGCTAGATGATGTTACCATTTGTTATGGAAATTAAAAGTTAGGGGTTTTGGGGTTTTGGGGTTTTGGGGTTTTGGGG